TACCCGGTTTCCCCAATAACAGCATCTTGCAAAACTCCAACACGATAGCACAATTAGAGTGTCTGCAATGATGCAAGCCACCAGTCCTACTCCGATTTCCCAGTTCACACTCACTCATTTCAATGTGCCTTTTGTGCTACAATTTCATCACATGTGTAGGTTCCAGTACCCAACAGCACCGTCAGGATGCAAAACAGCTCCGTCCCCAGGAGGACTCTCCTGCTGCCTGTGAGAGCCACACCCCCTCCCTCACACCTGCCTCACCCCATCCTTAACCTCATCCCTCTAATCTGTTCTCCATTTCTAAAATGGAGAACTTTGTCATTTTACAATGTTATATAAATAGAATCACACAGAATGTGACCTTTTGGGTTGGCTTTTTTCATTCAGCACAGTTCTCTGGAGGTTCACGTAGGTGTGGTGTGCGCCAATAGTTTGTTTTACTTGTTCAGAATTCCATGATATGGACACACCGTGGTTTGTTTAATCATTCACCCATTGAAGGGCATTGGGATGCTTCCAGTTTGGGGCCATTCCAGATAAAGCTGCCATGAACACTTGTGTACAGGTTTCACTTGAACATAACTTTTCACTTCTCTGGGATAAAAGCCCAAGGGCGCAGTGGCCAGGCTCTGTGGCAGCACATGCTTAGTTTTCACAGGAAGCTGCCAAACTATTCCCCAGAGTGGCTAAAGCATTTTCCCTTTCCACTGGCAATGGAGGGGTGATTTCGTTTCTCCACATCCTCTCCAGCATTCAGTTGTCATTGTCTTTGGTCCTCACTGTTTGTACAGGTACGTAGTGCTGTCTCCCGGTGGTCTTCCTCTGTTTCCAGAATGGCTAATGACGGTGGACATCTCTTCTGCCTCCTTTGCCATCCATGCATCCTCTCTGGTGAAATGTCTGTGCATGTCCTTCATACTTTCTAACCCGACGGTTTGCTTTTTTTACTGTTGAGTTTTGAGAGTGTGGATCTCTTGGGTTCTAGGCTGTGTCATGAGGAAAAGCAGGTCACATGAGGATCAGGTTCCACTCTCACAGAGCTGATGCGCCCAAGGGGAGAGACAGAAAATGTACTGGACAACACAAAAATAGGATCAGTTCCCAAGGGCTGGGTGCTGTGAGGAAGTGCTGAGATGAAGGTACACGGGGAGGGCAGCCTGACGAGTCAGGCAAGGGCTCTTCTAGAACCTGAGCCCTGGGTGAGGCCTTGAACACCCAGAAGCATCCAGTGCCAGGGCAACAGGTACCAAGGTGCTGGTGTGGGAGCAGACTTGGCATTTGAGGGGAATGATGGGGCTGCCAGGGCCGGGCAGGGAGGCACTGGGGCTCCCAGAAGGGTGGGAGCATCTAATTCATGTCCCATCTCATCACTGCCCCAACTCCCCTCCCAGCACCAAAGCACCATGGGGTGAGGGGCCATGGGGCCGCCTCTCAGGGAGCCCTCCCTTCCCTGCGGTGAGCCTCCCAAGCCAGCAGGAGGGTGCCTGGGCTGCTATTTAACATTCCCTGACAGTTCAGCCAGACCCTCTCTCAGACAGACAAGTATCAAATATTCATGAGAATGACCCAGGTCACTCTCCCTCCTCCCGCCTCCCCCACAGCCTGATGGGCCCAGGCCGCAAGGCCTTGGAGCAACGGAGCCTCGGAGTCTCAGGCAGTGGGCAGTTGTGTGGCACTGCCCAAGCGCAGTTGCTGGGGGCTCCCTGCCTTCCTCTCCTCCGCCCTCTCTGGCCCTCCCCTCCCCTCCCTTCCCCTCCTCAGAACCCACTGCCTGCCTCACAAAGGAGGGTGGCTGTCTCCAGCCTGCCTCATGGGGCTCACAGGTGGGATTCTGGCCCCTTAGCCAGATGGAGGAGCCTGGTCTGGAGCCCCGGCCACCGCTCCACCCAGACTGTCTCCACAGGGAGAAAAGACACACTGGGCCCCCTAGCCTGGGAGAGCATCACAGCACTCCTCAACTTTTGGAAGGCTACTTTTGGAAGGCAGCTGACATGCCTAGGGGGCTTCAGAACACACCCTGCTCCAGAAACCACCCCAGGGACACGGCCCAAGAAACAGTCTCAGCGAAACCCATGGCCAAGCCCATGTGAACTTTGGAATCAAAAGACCATGTATAGTGTGACCCTGGCATGTCCCAAATCTTCTCAGGGACTTAGTTTTCTCATCCGCCAAGTGGGGATTGTGTTACCCACCACATGGGGTTGTCATGACAAGACGAATTTCAGCTCAGCATAGGCATTCACTCAGGGGGTGCTCAGCCTGCCCTGTGGGCTCATCCAGCCTTCTTGAGAGGACAGAGCACTGTGAGCTAGAACCCAGGACACCCACGGGATCTCCCACATGACCTGGGCCTGGGGCTTCAAGACAGAATCCCTGTGACTAACCCTGGGCCCCAAGCAGCAACCCTGCCAGACAGGCCAGCGTGGTTCTGAGATGGGATGCAGACACGGCTGGGGAGTCCCAGGGAAGAGCTCCCGCCAGCGGCTCCAAGGCTGCCTCAGTTTCTCCAGATGTCCTCCACTCACCCCCATGCAGAGCCCACAGCAAAGAATTTGTGACGTAATGAAGCACCCTCTGCTCCTCTCTCTCCTACTCCCCTCTCTAGCCCTTGCAACTGAGAGCCCAACTAGCACAGGAGCTGCCTTGAGGGACTGTATCTGCAGAAGCCTCTCGACGGCGCGTCCATCTGTTATACTGCTCAGAATAAGATCTTGAATAATGGAGAGGGTGTGTCTCTGATGCAGCCTGACAGGACATGTGTGCGCATATATATGTGTGCATTGTGCACATGTGCATATGAACATGTGTACACATGAGTGTACATAGCATGTGCATGTAGGGAGCTTCCCTCAGCACCCCAGGCACGCGTCCAACCCAGCTCCCCCCTTCTTTCTGCTCCATCAGCATGGTCAGTGCCTCTTCTTGCTACTGCAACTCTGGGCACCACTGAGCCCCCTCATTGCTGGGTAAGCCTTGGAGAAGTGGGGGACATGAAGGGGTTGTTGCCAAGGGTGTGTCAGTGGCAGGGGGACGACTGTGAACTGGGGGACTGGTAATTGGGACTTAGCTAGGGAAGACCCAAAAGCCAGGTTAAGGGAACTGGACATCTCCCTGCCTAGGGGACCACTTCACCAAACACTGACTAGCCAACTGTCCATCCCGGGCGTGGATGGGCCTCAGGATGAGCTAGTGAAGTACCCAGGGATTCCTCCCCCCACTGGAGCCTGCAGTGTGCAGAGACCAGAGAAGGTCCCAGGCCCGTGCCTTGGGAGAGGGGCCGGGCTTTTCAGCAGCAGCAGAGACTCCTCGCTGGGCTCTGTGTGGGCAGGCGTGGCCAGGGCTGGTGTCCGGCACTGCTCTCCAATCTCGTCTGCTTCCCAGAACTGGCTGTCTGTGCTTCCCTGCAGGCTGTGACTGACCTGGGCTCCCTGTTGCCAATTTTTCTAGTTCAAATCAGCCTGGGTCAGTCTCTAGCCCTTGCACTTGACAGCCCAACTAGCACACGGGCTACCTTGAGGGGCTGCATCTGCAGAAGCCGCTCGATGGCACTTCCATCTGTTATTTACTTTGAACAACTAAATACTTTTCAGGACTGTGCAAAGGTAGCACACACGAGACCCCATGGCCTGGGAAGGGCATTGCCAACCCACCCCCCTGAGTGGCCCTCTTCACTGGCAACAAACCCAACTGCTCAGAGTCCATATGCATGCAGGGGTGCTGCCTCTGTCACAGCTGGAGCTCAGGCAGTGTGTCACGGACAGAATGGCCATGAGGGCCATTAGTGGGCTATGATCCAATTAACCAGGTCACATGTGTCCCCCTGCCACCCAGAACAGGAGGGCACAGCACAAAGCAGAAAACTAGACCCAGTAGGGGCGCAGCAGGGATGCCGTGGCTGGCTGCAGCCTTCCATGCACCTGCTGCCTCGCGGACCAGTGGCCAACCTGCCGCCAGCATGGGAACTGAGCATCGTGGGCAGTTTGGATGCCAGGATTGGGGGCCCCAAAATCTTGCTGCCCTGGGGCCTCCACCGTGATCCCAGACTGTTCTTTTCCTATCCACATTGACTCAGGTTCATGGCCTCTTTTTTTTTTTTTAGACAGAATTTTGCTCTGTTACCCAGCCTGGAGTGCAATGGCACCATCTCGGCTCACTGTAGCCTCTGTCTCCCAGACTGAAGCAATTCTCCTGCTTCAGCCTCTTGAGTAGCTGGGATTACAGGCCACCACGCCCAGCTAATTTTTGCATTTTTAGTAGAGATAGGGTTTCACCATGTTGGCCAGGTTGGTCTCGAACTCCTGACCTCAGGTAATCTGCCCACCTCGGCCTCCCAAAGTGCTGGGATTATAGGAATGAGCCACCACGCCCTGCTGACCCACTGCTTCTTAATGACCACCCACGGCTCGCCTCTCCCAAGTCTCCTCCACCCATCACTGGAGCTGTTTCTTCAGATCACTGCCTGTCTCAGTGGGGGGTTCCATCAGGGCAACCCTTCTGGGGTGACCACCCAGCCTTTCATTCATTCTCAGCTTGCCTCAACATGAAAACTCAGGCAGAGCAGGAGTCCTGCTGGGGGAGTGAGGGAGCCCAGCTGGTTGTGTGACCCTGTACGGATCCTCTCCCCTCTCTGGGCTTCAGGCAGGTGAGAAATTGGGACAGTGATTTCTAAGGGGCTATCCAGCTCTGACAACCTGGCCTGTGCCAAGGTGGGGAATCTAGTGAGCAAGTCTGGGCTCACTCCTGGCATCCCCTCTCTACACTCCTATCCTCCCATCTTCCAGGGGTCCCATCTTACACCACAGCCAGGGTGCAGAGTGAAAGAAACTGCCCCCTCCCTGGGTCTGGCAGGAATGGCCAGGGTGAGGGGCACTGGGCATCCAGCCCTGGAAGGTAAGCCCCGGGCAGTGTTAGGACTGGCCTCACCTAGGATATCAGGGCAGCTCAGGATCATCCAGCAGTGCAGGAGCTCAGGGCTGCTCTGCCTGTTCCTACTGCAGGAGGTGACAAAGGCATCGGATGGCAGCCTCCTGGGGGACCCCGGGCACACACCTCTTAGCAAGAAGGAGGGTGTCAAGTGGCAGAGGCCGAGGCTCAGCCGCCAGGCCTTGATGAGATGCTGCCTGGTCAAGTGGATCCTGTCCAGCACAGCCCCACAGGGCTCAGGTAGGGGCCGGGGCGGGCTTCGGTCAAGGGTGGGGGTGGGGAGGTCTGTTCTGAGCACTGTCTTTTCTGAGGGCTCCAAGGCCAGCCTTCGACCCCAGCCTGGGCCACACCACCCCTCTCTCTGTTGGAGCTGTGTTTTCATTCATTCACACCCTTCCCCATTCATTAAGTGCTTGCTTTATGCAGGCCACTGAGCTCCCAGTGGGACCCACAGAACATAGAGAAAGAGAGCCGGGACCATACTGGGGTTTTCCAGTTGGCTAGGAAGATGGAACCAGGCTGCAGAGTCCAACAGACCAGGCCAGGCTCCACCCTGCCCACTGCTCACTTCCTGAGTAAGCCGGAGCACCTCATTCATCCTTTCCAAGTCTTCCATGAGACGGCAGGCTGGCACCTGTCCACAGGGCACATTTGAAGATGTGCAATAATGTGTGCAGTGCCTGGTGATCAGGAGACTCTGCCCTTACCCTAAGGATTGGTGCTGTCTGTTTGTCTTGGGTTACATTCTGGGGTGTTAGTGAGAGAACTGGCAGAAATCACTGCCCTGGGCTTGCTGTGGGTGATATTTGGTGTATGACTGAGCTGAACAAACAATGGCAGCCTTATGCGGCCCCCATGATCTCACACACACATGCAGACACCTCACACTTACACCTTTGCACACATGCCAGTGCATCTATCACACACGAGTTTGCACACTCACTATGCACACACAGGTAGGCATACCATACACATTTGCATGCTCTCACATACACATACCATGCACACTCATGGGATCACGTGTGAGTATGGCATGTTTGTGAGTTTACCTCTGACTTTAAGGAAAAGGTGCAGACTTGCCCTTGACAAGATAGCAAACAAGCTGCATCTCTAGCTGTGTGATTTCCAGGGAGCCTCGTCCCCTGGCCAGGAGAATGGGCACAATCAGGGTCCCAGCCTCCCAAGCTTGATGGGGGTCATGCGTGGAAGGGATCACCTGAGGGGTCTGGGCAAACAGCAGGCACAGTGGCTGGCAGCCACGGCCAGAGGTCCATGCATGTGCACAAAGGGAATGACTGCTATGCACCAGCTCCCCGTTCTTTACCCACAAACGCCACTCCAGGGTGCTCCCAGCAGGATTCCAGTCACCTCCCTTTTGGCTCCACCACCTCTGCTTCCCCACAGAGCCCCTACCCATCTGTGATGCTGTCACCTTGGCTGACACTTGTCCCCAACCTCTTCCCATGGAAGCACTGGTACTTATGAATGCCTGGGTGAGATTTACGTGCACCTTCAACTTCTCGGGGGTGGAGTGGTAGGTTTTGCAAGTGGCAGAAACATGATGAGGTCACTAAAAGTACATGCACATAGCGTGACCGGGAAGGGCCACCTTCAGTGCACTGTTTGTTCTGCATCAGGATGAAAATGCGCCTGTTTTCTCTTAGGGTAGGAGTGAGAGCACAGTGGTCATTGCATGGGTTGGGGGCTCAGGTCCACTCTGCAGTGCAGCTGATTTCCTCCACCTCAGCCTTCCAGGGTTTTCTTGGTGACAACGAGTAATTAAGGGGGTGCTGCAGAGGAACCCTCTGTTCCTCAGGTCTTGCAGATGCTCAGCCTCATTCTTCCATCTCTCTCTGGTAGGCAGAGGTGGCTCAGGACAGGCTGGGGCTGATGTGCACCCTTCACTGAGGCTTTCTGCACACCCGTGACAGCAGCAGCTGTGCTGAATGGGGTGGTCCGGGAGAAAGGCGAGCCAGGGGCCAGCATGGCGTGTTCAAGCCAGGGCGAGGGGACCATCCCTGCACGGCCCACCCCTGTGTGCCCTACCCCAGCTCAGGGCAGCTTCCTAGAGGGCAGGGCCTTTCTATTCCCAGCTATCAAGACAGATTTGCTGAACAACTTGTCGAAGGCACACAGGAGAGGAAGGGCCATGGCAGGGCCAGGCACCAGCGATGGGTTTGTTCCCCAGGGTGGGCATGTTTGCCGGACCTTGTGCAGGCACTGGGAGCAGATGGGAACCTATTTGGTTGCGAGAGGGAGGCAGTGTAGAGTTCATCACTCAGTTTTACCGAAGCATCCATGGCGGAAGCTCAGAGGGGTCAAATGACTCAGCAGATGGCACTAGGGTTTGGGGTGGGAGAGGGCTGGGGTCCAGAGCTCCACAGTGCCCACCCTGACGAGCATCTTTGGTGGGAGCTGAGGGAGGAGGAAACCCAGGAACCTCAGGGACAGAGGAACCGGGACTTCGATGTGCTCTTTGTCTCTCTTGGGCATAGCTCCTGGATGGCCTCTCTTCAGTCCTAACACGTCTTGTGTGTCTCGCAAGGAGGCCAGGCTGGTGTGATCACACTGAGGGCTTTGTGCATGTGTGAAATGCTATGCCATGTGCAGATGAGGCACCCCGGCTCTTTGGGAGCCTTCACAGGCTCTGGGTGCAAAGAACAATGGGGCCCATTCAGTGCACCCCAGCTGTGTGCTCTTCAATGCCCAGCACAGTGTCCTGAGTCCTGGGGTCCTGTGGGAGCGGGTGGCCCAGACACTGTGCCCTTGTACTGGGGTTTTTCCATTCAGCAGAATCGGGGCCAGAGACACATGTTGGGAACAGCTGGGAGTGAAAGCCAAGGCCCAGCTCTGGAGTCCCCAAGGCTTGGGCGACGTAGAATGTGAGCCAGGAGTGGGCAGGACCCAGGGGCCTGGAGATACTGTGCAATGGCTGGAGCATCTGTGACTGGGCCCTGGGTGGCCCCAGAATGGAGTCAGGAGGTGGGCAGCAGCAGGACCTCTAAGAGGGGAGCCAGGAGACTCAGAGCACAGGCAGCCTGGCTCCACCCTACCCAGGAGAAGTGCCCCATCCTCAGCTCCTTGGACCCTCCTCCGTGACCCAGAAGCAGGGACTCTGGCCTGCCACCCACCCCACCCATGTCTCCCCTGCATCTAAAGTCCCTCCCTGCAGGACACCTCTCCAGCGCCATGGCCAGTGCCACAACTGGACAGACCTGTTTCTCAAGTCTGGTGCCCACAAGGGCTGTGGGACTTGGGTTTCTTCAACTGGAATAATAATGTCCCCCACAGATAACCTGGGGGCCCAGCTGCAGACAAATGAACCCAGGTGAGCTGGTTTAAGCGGAGCATCTGCTCCAGGCCTTGGGAAGTTCACGGAAACTCTGGAGGACCAGAAATGGAGGCCTGGATGGGACAAAGAATGGGACAAAATCTCCCCGCTGCCTCGGGAGATGCCTGGTATCCTGAACCACTCTAGCAGGAACGCTTCTGTGTGACACGGTGCAGCCATTCCTCACACATGCACACACACACAGAGAACACACATACACACACACATGCACACACACAGGAGCACACACACCCACCCCCCCACACATGCAGCCACACACTCACCCACACACTCCCCCATGCACACACACGAACACACAAGCACACACACTTACCATGCACACACACGCATGCACATGCCCCTCCCCAAAGGGAAGACCCACATCCTCCTCAGCCGCTGTTTATTCTCCTGGGGTTCCATGGCAACTCCACATAAAATCATAAAGTTGCCACCACCAGTGCTCCTGGTAAAAAGGGGTAGCGGAACGCTATGGGAACAAAAGGTGAATTAACTCGTCTCTAGTACATAAAGATAGAAAAACGTGTGGTCACAGAATTTTTGTATATTTGAAGATACAAGATACAATTGACATCGTGAGGCATCAAGATACATGGCATCAAAGTGAGACATCAGATTACTGCAAACTTACAAACATTTCCGAAAATTAACCCCTTTCCATGGTGGTTGTAGTACAACATCTGTGGCCATCTTTAATCCACCACAAGGGCCTTGGCTGAGTCCTTGGTGGAACGATCCAAACCCCCATTCCTGAGGGATCTGAGTCCTTGGTGGTCCTGCCTCAGTGGGGTTGCTAGATGCCCCCATGGACTTTCATTTGTAATTGGCGGCAGCATTGCTAGGCTCCCTGGAGAATTCACTGGATCTGAGGTAGAGTCCTCACTGTTCCCCTTGATAATAGGGACATTCGACGGCCCTTGATGCCAGCTGGTCTGAGTGGTGTGAGGGGCCCAGCATGGCCAGGTGGCTGTCCCAGCTTCCAGTTCAGCAGACCTCCTGCCGCCTCCCTCTGGGGACCCTAAAGCCTCTAATCCAGAGCCTGGAATATTGGAAAGAAGCAGCAGAGGTGTGGTGAGTGGGTGCTGGATGAGGGAGGAGCCTCCACGTGCCTCCCGGCTCCAGGCTTTTTCTTCTGGCCATGGGAGAGGCAGGCACATCCAGCAGCATCACCGGCGCCTGACAGGGCAGCCCTGGAACCCTCAGCTGGCACCGGAACCCATCTTCAGCAGGTCTCACCACTGTCCTATGAGGTCAGCTGCCTCTGGGGGTGGGCACAGGATGGGGACAGGAACCTATGACCCCTGGCCTTTGGCCACACTGCTCCGAGGTGAAATGAGACTGTTACTCAGGAACTATGGTGTGGGGGCACCATGATGGGGGGTGCTGGCAGCACCAGGGCAGGCCAGAGGGAAGGTCACACACAGAGTGATGGTCACTCCATGAGGACAACGGGAGCCCTGGAGTGACAGCAGGGACGCAGAGTGGCTGACCTGCCACCTGGTGACTGGCTGGACGTCGAACCGCAGCTACAGCCTGATCAGCCCAGGGAGAAGTTCTTTTATTGAACCCATGGTGTTTTGTTCACCAGCAAATTGCCAGAGGGGCAGGAACAGAGGCTGTGAGGGGACCACTGGCCCACCTGATCAGCCAGCACCTCCTTGGCCTCAGCGCCCCTTGGAGGGCACTCGCGAAGCACTTGCTGTCCCACACTCTGGGTGGTTCCTCCCCAGGCCCCCAGACCTTACTCCCCTCATACTGCCCCACTACCTCCCTGACCCTGAACAAATGGTTAACAACCACCCATGAATCAATATAAGCCTGTGCCTCGGGCCTCTCTTCTTCAAACAATGTGGGCAGTACCAGGAAGATGTCCCTTCTCCACGTCCTTCCC